AATCTTTTTAAATTTTTTCATTTGAGCAGAAAATTGCACAAAACGTACATCAAAATGTGCAATAGCGTGGAAAAATGCGCCAACCGTGTGTTTCTATTAATTTCTATGGGAATAAAAACGTGCCAAACACGTGCAAATCTGCACAATTTGAGCTACAAAAACAGCTCCACAACTTGTTTGAGCTCCAGGCATTTGGCTTCAGGTGACTTGAAGTAGAAATGTGAACCATCTCCATTCAGAATAAATTATTTTTTCACCTTAAGCATTTTGGAGCTTCGAGCTACAAAATGCTCAGGTGTGAATGGGACCTTACATAAGAATGTCATATAATACAGCTCTATTATTTTATAATATGATCTTTAAGTCACACTTTTTTTTATATTGGCCAAAATAACTGATATATAATCATGGACTGCAGTGAATAACCAGAGTTATTTGTTCTTTTTGCAGGTATATTCATTTATATTATTTATTTATTTATCGTAATTAGGCAAAACACTGATAATTTTTTGAATCTTCCATTATAGTTGGACAGTTGGCCCAGCCAAAATACCTGAACAGCACCTGCATCTAATTTTCCATCCCTCCCATTACTTTTGCACACCCACAGAATTTGGGTATTTGTCCATTAAAGCGTCTTTTACCTGTGTAAAAAGCAAAGAAGAAAAATAACTTTTTAGTTAATGTTAGTATAGTTAATTTTTAGTTTTAGTTTAGTTAATTTTAGTTAATTTTTAGTTCCTTGTTTTTTAGCATTTTTAATTAGATGGGGTATTTGTGGGTCAGGATCCTTCAATGGTACTAACATTTCTAACTGATATATGGTTTCTATATACTGTTTTAAAGGGTAGATGAGATGATATTTAGCTCTTTTAAAGCGCTGTGTGTAATGAATGCCATTTTTGTAATGCCTATCTTAAGGCTAAAACTATCACGCCTCCCATCCCCTTTTAACTGGTGATTGCAGAAAAACAAGAAAAACTATTTATAACTGCTATTTTATGTAGCGAACACTGCAGTCATATGATTCTCCATTTTTGGGTCTTTTCTGTTTTTTACACACTTCAGGTGTCCACGACAATGTCTGTGTGACATTTACACTTCCCGTTGGTTGTCCAGTAGTGGAGACCTCTCAGGATACAGAAGATGAGTGATGTCATCACAAGGACACAGTAAAGACTGACCACAGATGGACCATCTTCATCTCCTGTACCCTGGAAACAACACTGGAGAGGGACCTGGATGGGGGAGTTTAACTCCTTCACCAGGTAAGGAAAAATAAAAAACCTTCAGGACTTGCTAGAGGGGGATGAGAAAGGGAATTGGATGGGTGGGGGTCATCGTACGATTTGATCATGATGGAGTAAAAAATCAGTAGTTTTTCACAAATTTTCCAACATGCCCGATCACTGAAAAGAGGAGGAACCACGAAAATCGGCCGGCGCCATTGACCCACTAACAGAGCGAAAATCGCCCGATTCTTCTTAGGTCTGATTTTCGGGTGAAAAATTGGTCGAATTTCGACCCATGTATGGCCGGCCTTAGGGTGGGTTTTCTGATAGTGACAACAATCCCTGTGTGGCAGGGTGACAATGTAGGAGCACGTTGGCAGACAGGGACAGAGTGTTGTCACCCTATAACAGGAAGTATCTGAACAATTAACTTTATGGCATGATCACCAGGTAATATTTTAATAAAAGATGTAGATTTAAAAACTGATTTGAAATCAGTTCTGAAACATGTTTAAAGCATATATGGTATGAAGTTTTAGGTTTGTGATTTTCATGCACTGTACATGGATATTTTGGTTATTTTATATAATTATTTTTTTAATACACTGTACATGGGTATTTTGGTTATTTTTATATTATTTTTTTTTTATACACTGTGCATGGGTATTTTGGTTATTTTTATATATTTTGTTTTTTGTATACACTGTACATGGATATTTTGGTTATTTTTATATTATTATTTTTTTATACACTGTACATGGGTATTTTGGCTATTCTTATATTATTTATTTTTTTATACACTGTACATGGGTATTTTGGTTATTTTTATATTATTATTTTTTTATTCACTGTGCATGGGTATTTTGGTTATTTTTAAATTTGTATTTTTTTTATACACTGCACATGGGTATTTTGGTTATTTTTATATTATTATTTTTTATACACTGTACATGGGTATTTTGCTTATTTTTATATTATTATTTTTTTGTATACACTGTGCATGGGTATTTTGGTTATTTTTATATTATTATTTTTTTTTTATATTATTATTTTTTTTTTATGCACTGTACATGGGTATTTTGGTTATTTTTATATTTATTATTTTTTATACACTGTACATGGGTATTTTGCTTATTTTTATATTATTATTTTTTTTATACACTGTGCATGGGTATTTTGCTTATTTTTATATTATTATTTTTTTATATACTGTACATGGGTATTTTGCTTATTTTTATATTATTATTTTTTGTATACACTGTACATGGGTATTTTGCTTATTTTTATATTATTATTTTTTGTATACACTGTGCATGGGTATTTTGCTTATTCTTACATTATTATTTTTTTTAAACACTGTGCATGGGTATTTTGGTTATTTTTATATTATTTTTTATACACTGTGCATGGATATTTTGGTTATTTTTATAATATTATTTTTTATACACTGGTCATGGGTATTTTGGTTATTTTTATATTATTATTTTTTTTTTATACACTTTACATAGGTATTTTGGTTATTTTTATATTATTATTATTTTTTGGTGTAGTTCTTTAGTTCCATAAAAATCTGAATTATTTTAGATTTTTGGTTTTTTTTCTTTTTTCTTTTTCCAGACTGTGCCAGGATTAAGATAACAGTCCCAAAACTTGCACTTTCAAAACAATAAAATAAAAAAGACATCTTCTATAATCCAGCTTCCATATTTCTAGCGTTTCATTTTAGATTCACTAACATTGTCAATCCAATCTAATCAGCAGTATTACAGGAGTACTTCCTTAAAAATACCAACCTTCCATAAGCTAAAATTGCACACAGCACATATTCAATACAACCCCCTCATGTAAAATTCATGTTGAACGCCGAAATAAAGTCTGTCCGCGCTGTAAAAGCTGAGGCACAGCACTGGCTTTGCAAAACAGTCTTTGTAACATAGGAGATCAACATGCACTAAGCTCTCTGTGCTGCGCAGATTTGATTTCACGTATTGATCAGAAGCAGCAATGTGCAGCTCTCAAGTCAGTGCACCAGAGTACCCAGATGTAACAACAACTGCAAGTATAAAAATAGCATAAAACACTACCAAAGCTCCTCCAAAATGTATTCAATGAAATGCAATATATTAGAACACAAATCCATAAGGGACTAGGTGGAATAAAAAGTTACTTCTAACAGTTGTAAAAACTCATGAGTGTAACAGCATCTGTACGCTGCTAGAAGATGGCTATGAGTCACAAGGAGTGGGCATTACTGGATGGACTGGTTGTGCATACAGCCAATGTCCACCAAGGAATTAGGACATAAGAAACCATGCCCACGAATGGCATTGGATAGAATGAGCACAGCTCCAGTCATGATGCAACCAATATCGATGGGATAAACAAATAGACATAAGAGGCAGGCAAACAACAGAAGGGATAGAGAGAAGACAGGCTGAATTACAAGTTGCTAGGGAAACAAAGTGACTTCCAGAGAGGTTCTGCAGATTACATAGTTGCATAATGTGGAGATGACAGCAGGCAGACAATTGAGAGTACTATCTTTGAACAGGGCCCAGGCTTTGCTACATGCAGAGAAATGGTAGAGCTGGAGTTCAGCTTAAATTATCCCTAGTGTGACGGGAGTCACTTTGGGTGGGGGGCCCATGGAACCAAGCTCACTTTGGAGATGTGGGGAGACCCATGTCAGCTCCCCATATCCCTTTTATATGTAAGTCCCCCTGTGCCTGTTAGGGGTACAGGGTGAACTGTCCTAATATTGGGGTGGGGAGGGGGTTTATTGTTTAATGCCATGTGGTTGCATCCCATTGTTCTATTGTGTGTCTTGCTTGGGAGCAAACTATTATGGGATGTATTGTTTATGGGTATGGGCTTGGTGGGGGGGTGTCTCCAGCAGTCCTCCCTCCTGATGGGACTGTCTGTTGGTGTGTCTCTTGTTACTAAATGTAGATGCCCTGCCCTGTTTCATTATACAGGGAGGGGGTATTGTCCCCTTGAGTGTATATATCTTCTATCTATGTTCAAATAAACTAGTCTATTTCCTGGTTTACTTCAAGACTGGTGTCGTCTAGTTGTGTATGGTCTGCTGTGGTGTCTGTGGTCGGTGTTCGGATAGGGAAGTGGTAGTCTAATGGTACCCAAGCGCAGACGGGTTGGTTCTGTTACACCTAGTAATACACATTGCATTGTTTAAGAAACTGTCTAGTGATTGATAGCAAGAAACCAGTCAAAATCTTGTTTCTGCCACAGTCCATAGTATGAAAGTAAACATTTAATTGGTGCCTGTGACTTGCTGACTATTTTACTATGCAGTCATAGCTAAATACACTATTTCTGTGTTTTACAGATCCATATCATTAATACCAAGCGATTCCCTAATATATAATTGATTACTCATTAGTAAACATGTCTTATTTTTAGTTGATTACATTAAATTACGTTTATAATTAATATCAGCATTGAGAAATGTACAAGTATAATAATGGGAGACTTAGAAGCCTTTGGCTATGTAAGTGGTTGTGCTTGGTTTGCTATTTATTCTGTGCATAGGCAAAATACAAGAAGTACAAAACATACAAAAAAGAACAATAAAATAGTTAATAGCAAGTTAGTGCATTTGTCTTTTTGTAATGTATATATATACATATCTACAGACAAAATTTAAAAAATGATTTAAAGTTCAGTTCTTAAAAGGTACTCTATTTACAAACAATATTAAAATTGAATAAAAAATCCTGAAAGGAACCCTTTTATATAAAGAATACATGGTCAAACCATATGTGCAGGTACTTGAGATGTTGATAGTGTGAGACTTCCTAAACCTCTGGAATCAAAGAAATTTTGCTGTCCAGCGCCACTAAGGAGATGAACCCCATCCACTGAAGGTAGAATTTGTCTGTCAGTCATGGTTCCACTTGGAGATGAGCCCAAAAAATTTCCCTGAGATGAGACAATTTTTTCAGGACTAGAAGCTAGTTTGGGAGACGTGGAAAAGTTATATCCATACAGTGCACATGGGCTGTGCAGCCGAAAGGCATTGTAAGAGCTTTGGTGCGGCTGTCCACTGCTGTATGCATTGCTCGTTGGTGAAGGCATAATATATTGGAGCTGAGGAGATATTCCTGAAATTTGCATAGATAAGCTTGTTTGAGGACATCCAAAGTTGTCACTGTCAGCTCCTGCCATAGACATATTTACTGCGGTGCTGCTTGCCATTCCAACGTAGGAAGGGGTTCTTGGGGTTGCAAAGGTTTCATTGGCTGGGTTGGTGAGTCTGTTATATGTTTCAGCAAGTGAAGTGCTGTATCTATTAAGTGCAAGGCCAGATCGACCACAGGCTGAATAATCTGCTGGATTTAGGCTGCAAAGCTGACTCGTGTTTGCTCCAAGGTGGAAAGCAGGAGAAGAACATGGAGAACCTGGCAAAAGATGTGGATGAGTGGCTGCAGCTCCAGATCCAGAGAGTAAAGAAGTGCCTGCATTTCCTAAAGAAAAAAAATATATTGTGATTAGTGCTATATATATATACAGTTTATACTGCATTTCCTAAAGAAACAAAAATATATTGTGATTAGTGCTATATATATATATATATATACAGTTTATACTGCATTTGCTAAAGAAACAAAAATATATTGTGATTTGTGCTAGATATGTATACAGTTTTATACTGCATTTCCTAAAGAAACAAAAATTATATTGTGATTTGTGCTAGATATATATATATACAGTTTATACTGCATTTCCTAAAGAAACAAAATTATATTGTGATTAGTGCTAGATATATATACAGTTTATACTGCATGTCCTAAAGAAACAAAATTATATTGTGATTAGTGCTAGATATATATACCGTTTATACTGCATTTCCTAAAGAAACAAAAATATATTGTGATTTGTGCTAGATATATATATACAGTTTATACTGCATTTCCTAAAAAAAAGAAAATATATTGTGATTAGTGCTAGATATATATACAGTTTATACTGCATTTCCTAAAGAAACAAAATTATATTGTGATTAGTGCTAGATGTATCTACAGTTTATACTGCATTTCCTAAAGAAACACAATTATATTGTGATTAGTTCTAGATATATATACAGTTTATACTGCATTTCCTAAAGAAACAAAAATATATTGTGATTAGTGCTAGATATACATACAGTTTATACTGCATTTTCTAAAGAAAAAAATATATTGTGATTAGAGCTAGATATATATACAGTTTATACTGCATTTCCAAAGAAAAAAATATATTGTGATTAGTGCTAGATATATATATATACAGTATTTATATGTTTGCTACAGATGAACCACTTTTATATATCAATATTTTTTTTCTCCCTAAAATGCTATGTTATTAGTCTTGTAAGGACGGTAATTAAAAGTAATAATGGGGGAGAGAAATATTTTACTCTGATAACCAACACGTAATAGTGTAATGCTTTTATTAGCAAAAAATGGAATGTATACCAAATGTTAGTGAAAAATAGACTGCATAGTAGCCATCACCTCACCACAGACAACATAGTCTATACAACCTAAAAACAACAATAAATGAGACGTCATAGCATGGCCATAGTACATAATGTGCTGAACTGACAACGACAATATTGTCTTCTGCCAAATTACAGCAAAAACATCAGGGTGCACCACCGGTATACACACTGTAAACCTAGTATATAGGTAGTTAAATAAAACCAGCTTGGTATGGATGGTAACAATATACTAAGATATATATGTATACACTCCAATCATAGTGAATAGGTAATAACAGTCCAAAAAATGGGATAAGTCACTTAACATATGCATATGCATGCATCATACATACTAGGGGGAGTACAACTGGGGGAATCAATGGTGGAGAAGGATCTGGGAGTTCTGGTAGATCACAAGCTTAATAATGGCATGCAATGACAAGCTGCGGTTTCTAAAGCGAGCAAAATCCTCTCTTGTATTAAAAGAGGTATTGACTACACAGAGAGAGATATTATATTACCCCTGTACAAATCATTAGTAACACCTCATCTGGAATATGCAGTTCAGTTTTGGGCACCAATTCACAAAAAGAACATTGGGGAACTGGAGAAAGTACAGAGAAGGGCAACCAAACTGATACGAGGCATGGAGGAGCTCAGCTATGAGGAAGGATTAGAGGAACTGAATTTATTCTCTCTTAAGAAGAGGAGATTAAGGGGGGATATGATCAACATGTATAAATACATCAGTGGTTCATATAGTGTAGAGCTATTCACCTTGAGGTCATCACAGAGGACAAGGGGGCACTCTTTACGTCTGGAGGAAAAGAAATTTAATCTCCGAACACAGAAAGGTTTCTTCACAGTGAGAGCTGTGAAAATGTGGAATAGACTCCCTCAAGAGTTGGTTCTGGCCAGCTCAGTGGATTGCTTTAAAAAAGGCCTGGATTTTTTCTTAGATACACAGAATATAACTGGATACTAACATTTATAGGTAAAGTTGATCCAGGGAATATCCGATTGCCTCTCGGGGGATCAGGAAGGAATTTTTTTCCCAGCAGGAGCAAATTGGATCATGCTTTGCTGGGTTTTTTTTGCCTTCCTCTGGATCAACTGTGGCTATAGGATTATAACTTTTTTTTTTATGGTTGAACTGGATAGACTTTTGTCTTTTTTCAGCCAGACTAACTATGTAACTATATGTAACAACTTGAATCCAGGCACCTGAGTCAGGGCTTGCAAAGTCAATAGAAGATAACGATGCAGATGGCGACACTATATGGCATAGGCATCAACCAGATAGAGAATCCCCTGCATAGCAGGTTGCTGGAGTAATTGTCAATAAGGAACTTCTATGGAAGTCATCCAATAAATGCTGTAAACGGATCCTTACTGGCTGTATAGGATAACTTGTAGAGTTGTTCACCCTATGTGAAAGTGCCGTGTCACACAGACATAAACAGGGTGTAGGAACTCCCCACCTGCTGTAACCGATAGAAGACAAGTTCACCCTTGCTTGAATAGATAAAATCCTAGATGGGAATCCGTATGGCGGCCGCCAGAGTTGAGACTCCCATGGGTAGAGCCCTACCTCCAGATAAGTGCACCGTCAGTCCATGGTCTGCACTGGATGAAGTTGCTGTGACTCCTCGTGTCATTTTATGATAGTGATATTCTGCCTATATCCTATTCTGATATGTCGTACATTAGGACATTAGGATATTATTAGGATTAGGATATTATGAGTCAGTGCAAATATGTTTTATAGCTTGGTAAGTTCCTTAGTATGCTTAAACTTGCATATATTAATGTATTTTATTATTCATTCAGTTTAACTGAGAGTAATGCCTTCATTTTTAGATATAGGAGAATGCGTTAAGTATTAAAGTTCTGCAATCATAGTGGAATATTTTGCTTTTTTATATAGGTAATCCATTACAGAATGTGTTATTTCTTAAGAATGAATCATGAAAAATGTTTCAAATCAAGTCCATCTGTCTACAAGTTACCACCAAGTGTTCATCATTAAAGAGAATGCATACATTATTTAATATGTATTTTATTTCTGTATTTATTATGTCCAGACAGAAAACTAAAAGTATGATATTTGGTATATACAGTATATTAGGTAAGTTAGATAGATTGCATATTATTATTATTTCATATTTTGATTTTGTGAACTGGGAACATATCAAGTCTCATTCTCCCATGTTTGCTAGGCTCCACTTTAACATTCTGTTTAAAAAGCCTGCCGTTCGCCAGGCTTAAAGTATAACCAAAGGCAAAACAGTTTTTGAATTTTGGATAGAGTGCAGAGGGATAGGCGCACCTGTCTGTATATTACTGCCTTCTGTGTCCCCGTTAGGGAGATTTCCCCTCTCTATTTGTCCTGCAGACTGTTCTCACCGAAATGGGATACTAGTTCTGATGACCCTGGTGACACTTAAGGATTCCCTCATTTTAGAGGGATTTCCTCTAACTTCCTGTTTTGGCTATGGGAAAGGAAGTAAGAAGAATTCTCCCCAACAGAAAACAAATGAGAAAGAAAAAAACTCACAGAGGTTATAATCCTTCCCTACTCTTTTCCAAAATGAAAAAAAAAGTTTTGCCTTTTGTTCTACTTTAATAGTTCAAGTTCAGATTAACACACATAAGAGAATGTGTCAGAACAGTAAATAATTTTTCTTCATCTTTCCCTGCCTGTTCTGCTTACACAGGGGCCATATGAAGATTCAATTACAGAGTTAGTCTGAAAGCTCCCCCTACGCATGGACTCCGGTGCCCTATTCAGCATATAAGCATATGGTTACTGCTTAAATCAGCTACTATTTTAAAGATTGGCAGTATGAAACTATGAACTAAATTCATTTATATATCCTTTTGCTGTATCATTGTGGTCCTAATGAAGGGGAAGTCTTTGGCTCCTGAAACGTGTTGGCTCCGTCCACTATTCTATCATACATTGGAATAAATGTGTATATAGATGAATAACTCATGGTATGGAGCTTCAATCTCAAAACATTTTAATTACATTTCAAACCAAGAAAATTGCTAATTATTTTGTGTGTAGGAACTGCCAGCCCAGAATTCACATATCCTGTTCAAACACTGCTGTAACAGCAACCCCAATAGGATAATCCTAGGGTTAAAGTGACACTTATCAATTTCCTTAAAAGAGAAGTATGGGTTAATAACAACAAAAAAATATTATACTCACATGGGTGGATGATCCGGCTCTAAGACTGAGAATTGAGCGATCAAAGACTGCTGATCGCTCAGTTCCCAGTGTTCCGTGAGCAGAAAGCTGGTAACTGTCAGCCGCTGGCCCTCTGCTCTGCCCCCTGTTCACTGCAGTGCTGGGCTGTGGAAGGGAAGGGAGCGCCTTGCTCAGGCTCTCAGTGGATTGCTAAGGCTTCTGGGTGGATCTTGACCGTATGGTCAGGATCTTTTCAGAGTCTGGACTAGCTCTATAAAATCAGCCTCTCTGCTGAAAATGGATCATAGGAATGCAGAACGAACTGCACTCTTGTGATCCCCAGGAGAAGTAGAGCCAAAAGAGCATTGGCTATACTTCTCCTTTAAGAATCATTCAAAAGACAAGTTTTGAAGCCAAAGTTTACAAGGACCAGAGGAGACTTTTGTTAAATTACTGACACAGTGCAGAATTTTACTGGCCTCCTGATGGCAGGTATGCTTAAGCATGGTTACAAAGAATGGCCTATTTAGGCCACCAGATGACTAAAGTGCAAGTCCAGATGGGGAAGATGCTGGTACAGGAGCCAGTTGTGTAGATAGAGAACTAATGGCTGTCCTTTAAATAGGAACCAAATAAATTAGTGTCTGAGAATAGTTCTCTATACTGTTTCAAACTTTCTTTTTAAAAAAAAGGTCAATAGTAGTCATAGCAGAGCCTCGCTGTGATTTGTTTTCTTGGAGTTATTTATGGTAATACGTATCCACTGTAACTGTGACTTGAATTTAAAAACTTGCTTCAGTGTGCTCCACAACCCTGAGATATTCCTATAATGTAGAATTGTTTTGAACATTTAATGCACAGTTCTGTCGCTTTTAAGGAGATCATCACAGATGTTTATTGTCCACCAAATAGGATCCACAAAGTACCAACCACATGAATGCATGGTCACTTTCCCTACAGTGGTTTAGTATAAGTAAATGTAATCACTGTATTTACTTTATTACTAATAGTTAATATCTCTTGATATTAATAGCTATATTTACTGTACAAAACATACAGTAATTATAGTATGAAATAATAATAAATCAAAGACAATACATAAGTATAATTATTAGCATTTTATAACTGTGTATAACTTTTATAAGAATGGCTTTATTTGATTATACAAGCAACGTACTGCATCTGCAATCTTTAGCTTTTCAAACCACTGCTAGAACATAATTGTTTTGATTGATTGATTTAATTTTAGAAAGTCTCTATTTTGACATGCACTTATTTCAGGAAGAATAAAAAAGGCAAAAATTTTCACAGTCACCTATTTCTGTGACTACACTTAGACCAGACATTGGATATAGCATGCAGATATCACAATAAATGCAAAGTGGCATATATTATTTTATTCTAAGTTCTTCAAGCTTACACTTTTTGGCATTTCTAAAAATCATCATGAAACATACATTATAAATAAAGTATATACACTAAAAGTATCTATAACTATAAACTTTATATTATCTATTCTGCAATCAACATAATTCTGCTATATTCAGGTATTATATATTTACAAAATATAAGGATATTTACCCTGTTTTGGAATGCCAGGTATATCTTCAAATGTCAGAGTCCTCAAAGATGGTCTCCAAAATGCATATGATTCCACAAGGGCTTCTAAACCCATCCTACAAACATTTAAATTTCCAGTTATTATATTTCAAATATCATATTTGACAAAACACAAAGATGTAAAGAACTGCCACATTAAAATTTAAAAGCATTAAATATTTAGCTGACTGTACAAAGCTCACACTCCAAAACGATTCAGACATTTAATGTATTGTTTACCTGTAATTGATGCATTAGAAAACCTAGAAAAAGGTCATTGTCTCAAAAAAAACTTTTTTTTTGCTAAAAACAAATTTCTTTAACTATTTTACTGTAAGTGATTTGTTTTTATTTAATGCTAGTTTGAGAACTTACTCATAACCATCAAACAGTATTATGCCAAGATTTTTTTTTAGATCACAGATATTCTACAGGCAACAGCTATAAAGTGTTTATTAGCCAAACCCGGGCAAAAAAAAAATTCCTTTATTTTCGGCAGTAACCTAGACTTTTCACTTCTAGTTAAAAAGGAGATTAAAAGGTACCTCCTGGAGAAGTATAGGCTGGGTGATAATTTATACAAGATGCCTTCCAACAATTTCCACATTTTATCACCAATTTAATTTATACAATCAAGTGGCCACATATATTTAATGAAATACTTACAATTATTTACAGGGTAGAAATTGTTTTGCCTTCCTGATTTAACATTTTATAGGGTCAAACTCAAACTTTAGCAAAAGAATGGAACTTTATTCTCACCACATAAATTTGCTTTCACTTTGCTAATATTCTCCAGGATATCTTTTAACGGCTTAAGCTGCTGATATCTATTAAATAAACCCTGCTATTATATACGTCTTTAAATGGGGCTGAAATTCTACATATATAAAAAAAATGTATTATACTTCAAATGACTGTTTAACTGGCAAAATGTTAAGATTTTGAACAACTAAATCAATTAAATTGTATTGTATTGTATAACATTTGATTATTTCCTTTCTTTTTAAAAAACAGTGTCACATTTTGACTTTTTCCATAATGAGCCTTTCCAGCTTTAGAAACTGAGACAATGGGGTGGTTTATGAGACGTGTAGAGACTTAGCAAATTGTATATTCATTTGGAAAGAAAATGTGATGATTTGGAAAATCAACTCCTATATAGATACAATATATTATAATTATAAATGTATACAGCTTTACCACTAGAAACTATATGTTTCACTTTAGATCACCTTTAGGAGGCTGGTAAACTTTTTAGAGGGATGAATAATTTAAATAACATTTTGTATGTATTTTGCATTTGATATTTTGACAAAACTTGTAACTTATAGTGGTAGTATTAAAACTTATCTTCTACAAATAACAAAGCATTTGAGCATACTACTTTTTATTTATTAGATTGGGCACTAGTTTTTATCATTGCGGAACAAATATAACCTGAAAGCAGCTGTGTCAAACAATTAAGTTGGCCTTACACTATTTGAATTATGGCCGATTCAGAGAAACCCACCATAACTCTAACAGTGGGTGGCCCTGCCGCCTTGACAAAATCTGATTACTCAACTGACTTTTGTCGAAGGAGCAGGACCAAAAATCATTAGCCAAACAGCACCTGCAGCCAATCATCTGCAGGTACTCTTTGAGTATTTTGAGAGCCAGTGCTAGAGGCTGTCAAAATACAATAGCCCATCAGTGGGATCCATCTGTCCACACCATTTGTGTAGATATAGGAATCTGTGAAATGTCTTTCATTCAGCCTATTAGCATATGGTCAGCTTTTTCCAGTGTGTCCAGGCACAGGAGTAGTATTGTGAACTTCAACTCACTAGGACTTATTTACTAAGGGAGTAAAAGCCTGCTCACTTAGCAACCTGAGTATATACTGAGCTTGGTTAGTAAGATCAATCTGTATTCACTTCAATCATATAACTATATGCAAGTAAAAATCCTGTTTTTTTCAATGTTTATAATATATTTTATATTTGTTTATATTATTAGATAAAAAAAGGGGTCAGAGCTTTACCTTATTCACTTTGTTATTAAAATTATTGTTCACTTATGTTATGCTTTTTTGTTCTAAAATAATTGAAAAAAACATTTTGAAATAGCTTTTTAAGTAAAATAAAATAAAAAGTGTGCAAAAATAAATAACCCTTTCCTTAAAGGGGAACATTTTCCTTAAAGGGGAGTTACTGAAGAGTTTTTGGCAGTTTTTATTTTACATATTTTTTCAAGTTTATAAAGAATCAGTCATATTATTATTGTTTGTATTTTTAAACAAAAATGTAATACAAATATTTTAATATTTAATATATCTAAAATATATTTACTAGGAGGGAGAGGAGTGTCCATCTGATAGGATATTCAGGTGTTTATGTGTAATTTAGTCTTCTGCCACTTATCTATTCATAACATGGGCTACTCATAACACAGAGATAAAATAGCTTGCTGAAGAGCTGCAGAGTAGCTTTAAGTGTGCCACCTGCTGCATACAAGTGGTAAAGATGACATATTTATAAAAAAAATTCACATTGAACTGGCAAAAAAAAATGGATTACAAAAAAGTACATGTTATTTTTTTAATCCTGAACATTATAAAGAAAATATATTAAAAAAAACACTATACATTCCCTTTAATCTATTTATTGGAAAATGGTGTGCTTCAGGAATTAATTCTGTTTTCAAGTCTATTTCTTTGTAGTCCAGAGACTGTAATATCTGTGAAGTAAGGTCCCAAGGTCTTAAAGTAGACTAATTCTGAGCTGTGATTAAATCACCTCTTAAACTAAACCAGATTTTAGCCTGTCACCCTTCTTGTAGATCAAACAAAAGAAATGAGCTAGAGGGAGAAAACATTCCTTTTTGTAAAAGAATAAATACTTTTTTTCTCAGTGGAAGTAAGAGCAATAAAGAGACAAAGCAAGCCATTTCCTAACAGGAACACATACACGCTAATATTTAATCCTGCCCTCCATGTTGCAATGACAATGGTTCATTCATTGCTTAAATAAATGTACAAAATATATAAATTGTGTTTTATTGTTATAAATATTATTTCTTTGATACAAGAGTTAAATAGAGCATGAGTAAACATTTATGTGAACATGTACACATAGACAGTAGCTTGAACTTAGCTAAGTGCTAGGATCTAGGAGTAACCAGCCAGGTTAAAGAGTATTCATTTTCTGTTAATATTTCATGTAATCTTACCCACTGCTAAATTTAAACATGGGTAGTAAAATCGATGTAACACATTTATTTTTAGTAAATTATGTTCTAAACCAGGGGTATCCAACCTGTGGCCCATGGGCTACATGCAGCCCAAGATGGATATAAATGTGGCCCAACACAAAATTGTAAACTTACTTAAAGTAAACTTACTTACTTAAAGTAGTAAACCACAACTTGAAAAAAAAAACCCCAAAAAATCCCTGCAAGGTAAAGTCAAAATGTGCTAATATGCATTGCTTGATCGGGTATGCCGTTCCTTCAAAGTTCATATGCTGCCTGTCAAATAGAGCGAATATCTCCGAAACGGTGCATGTTTACCAGATATTCATTTTACCTACAGGTAAGCTTTATTATACGCTTACCTGTAGGCAAGAGATACAAAAGTGGGTTTATTTCCACTTTAAAATATTGTTTTTTGGGAAATTTTTGTGAAAATGCAAACACATGTGGCCAGGGACTCCCTTTGAGTGTGCACTCCTTTTCTGGTCTGCCAGGCTGCATGCTTAGATAAGGGCCTGCTATGAATTTTTAGGGAGGACCTCATGCATTTTTTGTTATTTTTGTGTGGAGTTTGCCCCTAAAATTAATACCAGATCCTAAGGAACTAGTATAGAATTTGAGGAGGCCTAACACCTTTTTGAGAGGGGGATGGCCCCCTTAAAATTCATAACAAACCTGAAGGGTCTCTTATGAATTATGGAGAAACCCACATGCCTACCTCTGGATCCTTTGCTTACATAGCCACAGATTTCTGGTCATTTAATTGAATGGGGCTGGTGATGTCACCAGTTGTTAGGGACTCGGCGGTGCCTGCCCCTGCCAGCATACTTGACAACTACTGACAGCACTAAACAAAACTTTTGGGTACATAGGGGTGAATTTATTTTACCCAGAGCTTAGTGAATGAGGTAAAGCTCAGTCGAGTCCCATCATCCTGTCATGTATAAGCAAAACTTAGTTTTTCTTTATTTTCCTTGCACATGACTGGATATTCTTTGCAAAGTTAAATTTCACTTCATTCATTAAGCTCTGGAGACAATTCCCTTGCAAAGTGAACAGCCTATTTGATTTAGTAATAAAAACAATAGTATCTATGCAACACCAGGACATTGTTCACCTAGGATCGAGACTGTTCCATGTAGCTGGCCTGATGCTGTGTTTTTATTAGAAGGTCTTCATTTTTAGTATACTTTTAATGGTGGATTTATGATATTATTCAATGAATTATGCAAGAAAAAGTCTAAATAACCCAGAATGATACAAGATTCCTGGTGCTTTTTATGGATTCTGCACTTTGTATTTTGTGCCTTGCTCTCTGTAAAACGAATAATTCTATTGGACATTTATAATGTTCTTTGTGTATGAGAAGAGGTTTAATTTAATAGAGAATCAGATTATTGTACCATTATTATTTCAACAGTGAGGGCAAGTCTAGGTAGATACTGATCATAGTAAGGGCACACAGAACGTTTTTAAACCTGGATCTGTAAAATCCATGACTGTATTCCTTGTCTTCTGTGATATTACACAAAAGTCAAAGTTGTTTCTTTTTTTTGCGTTCTTTTAAACTATCCCCCCCCCCCCCCCCAGCACACACACACACATGCACCCCAATGTCAGTCACACAAACAAATGCCATCAGATCATGTCAGTCACAAGGCCTTTGATAGAAGCCTTTGCAGCCTTGAAGCAAATTCACCAATTCCCTAGCTCTGGAAAATAATTCCCTGTTCCTCTTCAGGACAGACAAAGAGATTAATGTACAACATTCATTTATATGGCAAACTTTCTGATCACTGCCATACCCCATATCAGCATCCTGATCACTGCATACCCCCATAC